CCACTCACCTCAGCCTCCCAAAGGCGCGGGATTACAGGCTGAGCCAACGAGCCCGGCTGTAGTTTTTCTTTTAAATGATATATCTCGATTCTCAACCAGGCGCAGTAGCTCACACCTGTAATCCCAGCATTTTGGGAGGTCAAGTTGAAAGGACTGATGAACACAGGAGTTCAACGCTAGCTTAAGCAACATAGTGCAACCTCATCTCTACAAAGACATTAAGTAGTCGTGGTGGTGAGAACCTGTAGTTCCACCACCTAGGAGATTTAGGTGGAAGGATCCCCTGAGACTAGGAGGTTGAGTCTGCAGTGAGCCGTGGGTGACTGTCTACTGCACTCTGGACTGATTGACAGAATAAGACTCTGACTGAAAAACAATAACAAACCCAATATATCTTTATTCTCATTCCTATCAATAGATTAAACAAAGTTTGAAATACTCAACTCTTCTAGCAAAACAAGAAAAGGGAGTGGGGGAAACAACTTGTGATTGTATTTACTAATTATTTGAAAAACAAGGTAATTAGAGCAAACCTATCTTTAACTGAATACCAGAGATTACTGTTTACTGTAAAATTGTTACGATAAGCCTGTATTTCCCCTTTTCTCCTTTGATACAGTTTAGCTAGAGTTTAATCATCACTAGATCAGTGATAAGCAGGTATGTTGACATTCTGCCCAAACCAAGACTTTATGCGTTTCTATAGGAAGCATGTTGCTTGATTTGGGATTTTGCTTCAAAAATCAGTCGTTATCCTACAACTATACCAGCACATGAACACAAAAATTCCATGCCCACAACACACTATTTGTTAGATCAAAACCTCTGGAAACAACTTAAATGTCTATCAATGACTGGTTAAATAAATTATGGTTTAGCCATTCCAACATACTACAAACTTAATGTGACCATTAAAAAGAATGAGTCACCTCTCTAAGTATTGTATAAAATGATCTGCATAACCCATAGAGTAAAACCAGCAAGGTTCAGGGCAGTGTGTAGAGTACACTAACATTTGATGAAGTGCCTTGTGAAATTTTCCCAGGTGCATCAATTTTCCAATCAAATACATCATTTACAAGTTCAGCAGCAACAACAAATTTTAAGCAGTCACTACCTAAAATTTTCTATATACCTTAAATAATCCTCTTTGAATTTGCATTGAGTCTGACTTTCATCTTCTAGCCTCTACTACTAGCTAATAATATTTCTACAGATTTCTTGATTTTTTTCAGCTTAATAAGTATACAGAATTTCTTCTTTATAAAAATGTATTTCTTCTTAGTCGGATAGGAAAAACAGGCATCGCTCCTAGGTTGATTTTGTATTCTCCCACTCCATCTTTTATCTGGTTTTGAGAAGTGAGTAAGGGCTACAGTCAATGAACTGAGATGAGCAGAGATTGAGAATCTCTG